TAAAGCTGTGTCCCCATCTTTAAAATGAGATCATACCCATTTGACAAGTTTGTTTTTTATATAGCTTTAGAAGTTTTGTTTTTAAAATACTTACTACATAATAGATTATCGTTAGAGTAGCTGTTATTATCAGAATAAAGACGTGTGTAGAAAAATTGTTTTCCATCTGCTCTTCCACCACAATAATCAACACAGAAGACTTTTATGGCTGTAAAACATGTGGGTGTTTCTCCCTATCTGCGAACAATTTTGTAATCATGATACCAACTGGGTGTGCTCTAATCCATGTCAATTTAGGCACTATAGTGTTAGATTCCAAAGGTTGATGGCTCAGTCCCCAAGATTGCTTCTCTTCCCACTTCAGATACCAGGCCCAGGTTTGTTTGGACCTGTGAAACTGGTTATAATTCAGGGTTCCCCGGACACCCCTCACCACCATCACCCTCACTGCAGCTTTTCAATTAATTTGCTAGAATGGCTCACAGGACTCAGGGAAACATGTTTACCAGTTTACCATGAACAATATTTAGAGGATATAATAAACAACCAGATGAAGAGTTATACAGGGCCAGGTCTGGAAGAGTCCCAATTGCAGGAGCTTCTGTCTCCCTGGAGTTGTCTCCATGGAGAGTATACCACCCTCCCAGCACAGGGACATGTTCCTGTTGATCTTCCTGCAAGCCCCCACATATTTATCTGTCTGCAAACTCTCTGAACCCGATCCTTTTGGGGTTTTATGGAGGTTTCATTACAAAGGCATGATTGATTAAAGTGTTGGCCATTGGTGATCATTTTAACCTTCTGTCCCTCTTCTCTCCCCAGATTGGAATTTGAAATTGAAAATTCCATTTTTTAATCTTCTCTTTATTTTTCCACAAGCTCTGAAGGGGCTACTAACCACTTTTAATCTTATTAGCCTACGAAAAGACACTATTACTTTGGAGATTCCAAGGATTTTAGGAGTTGTATGCCAGGAAACTGGGAAGACCAAATATATATTTCATATTACCAGAAGAAGAAATACAAATGCAAGATAACAGTTGGGATCTTTTCCCTCCATTTTAATGAACTTTTAGTGAAGATCCCTAATGACAGTAATCTACAGCTAACATACCCCATTAGATTATTAATACAAGAGTCCACTGAGATCTTGTGATTCTTTAGCACATCAGAGATTTGACAGGTAATAACATCTGCATGACATCAACCTTCTTTCCTATGCTGCTTGCGTCTTATGTTACTGACCAAAAGTCATACAGCTTATTAGCATGAGGGTCTGAATATATGATAACTTTTCACATTGTCTTTCTTTTTCTGTGAGTTATTATTTTATTTCAATCCTGCCTTTCTCAGATATCTATTTTTTAAATGTTCAATTTAATTTTTGAAATGTAATTTATATATCAAAAAATTTTCTTTTAATGTATACAGTTCTGTAGTTTTTAGTATATTCACAAGGTTGTGCAACTATCACCACTAATTCTAGAACAATTTCATCACCCCCAGGAAGAAACCCTTCCTCCACCTCCTCACAACCATGCATCCACTTTCTGTCTCTATGGATTTGCCTGTTCTGGACATTACATGTAAATGGAAACACACAATATGTGACCTTTTATGCTTGGCATCTTAATTAATTATGGTATATTTTTGAGATTCATCCATAATTTTAGTATGAATCAGTATTTCATTCTTTTTATTGCTGAATAATATTCCATTGTATGGATATGTACTGTATTTTGTTTATCCATTCACTATTTGGTAAACAGTTGAGTTTGTTCTAGTTTTCAGCTGTTAGGAATAATGCTCATGTAACTGCAATGCTCCTGTAGATTGGGAGGCATGACTCTGGGGATCCCTACAAATCAGGTTATGCTACCATTTACTCTGCTTAGTGTTTTAAAGAATTTCCAGTTTTCCCAAATGACCACCATTTTACATTCACATGAGTAATTCACAAAAGTTTCAATTTCTCCACATCCTCATTCGTTTTCTATTCTTTTTTAAAAATTACTATAGCCATCATAGTGGGTATGAAGTAGTACCGCAATGTATCTTTTTTTTTAATTTTCATTTTTGTTGGCATTGGGAATTGAATTCAGAACCTTCTACATACTAGGCAAGTACTCTACCACTGAGCTATACTTCCAGCCCATTCAATATGATTGTGATTTGTATCTTCCTAGTGATTAATGATGTTGAACATCTTTTCATGTACTTATTAGCAATATTCATGGTTTCTGAGAAATATCTTTGCAAATGCTCTGCACATTTTTATTGAGTTGCCATTTTATTGAGTTGTAGATGTTCTTTATATATTCTTTTTTCACCTTTTAAAAATTCTTTTTAGTTATACATGACAGTAGAGTGTATTTTGACATATTTATACAAACATGAAGTACATCTTGTTCTAATAAGGTTCCTAGGCTTGTGGGTGTACAAGATCTGGAGATTCACTGTGGTGTATTCATTTATGTACATAGGAAAGTAACATCAGATTCATTTCACTGTCTTTTCTATTCCCTTCTCCCTTTCCTTCATTCCTCTTTGAAATGTTCTTTATATATTTTATTCTTTTCTTTTCTTTTCTTTTCTTTTTCTTATTGGGGTTTGATTCCAGGGGCACTCAACCACTGAGCCACATGCCCAGCCCTTTTTGTATTTTCTTTAGAGACAGGGTCTCACTGAGTTGCTTAGTGCCTGCATAAGTTTCTGAGGCTGCCTTTGAACTTGCAATCCTCCTGCCTCAGCTTCCCAAGCAGCTGAGATTACAGGAGTACACCACTGTGCCTGGCTTGGCCTATATATTCTTATTAGATATATGATTTTCAGATATTTTCTCCCATTCTGTGGGTTGTTTCTTCACCTTTTTTGGGTATAACTTGATGAACAAAAACTTTGAATTTTGTTGAAGTCTAATTTGTCTATTTTTTGAGGGGCTATTGCTTATACTTTTGGTGCCACATCTACATTTTATTTTTCCTTAAAGAACAAAGCTGACACTAAAATATGAGTGAAAAGACAAGGGTTCTCTTCCCAACCTTGTAATTATATATGCTCATTTAGAACTCATTTTCCATGACTGTAAAAAGACGATTGGTTCTGCAGAGTAGTAGTATGTGATAATTTTTTTCTGAGTACATTATCTTTCTAAAACCCCTTAAGTTAGTAGTTCTCAAGTTAGTCAGTTTTCCCCTCTAGGCAACATTTGGTAATCTCTGGAGACATTTTTGGTTGTCATATTTGAAAAAGATGCTACTGGGTATCTGGTAGGTAGAAGCCAAGGATGCTGCTAAATATCCTATAATGCACAGGACGGCCTCTACCACGAAGAACTATCTAACCCAAATTGACAGTAAAGCTGGATTTGAGAAGCTGTTCTAAAATTCTGATTCTTATTTTCCAGTTTATTTTATATGGTTTTCTTTGAGTTGGTGTACAGTTGCCAGATAGTTTTGTGCTCATAATCTTTTGCTAGGGGATATTAGCCTAACAAGGGTAATGTAAGGGGAGATACCAAAAAAGATAAAATCATTTGTGTGTGGCTTTTTGTTTGTTTGGTTTTTGTTGTTGTTTTTCAGTACTGGGGATTGAATCAATGGGCTCACTTTAGAGGCTCACCCACACTAGGAAAGCACTGAACTATATCCCTATTCCTTTTTATTTTTTAAGGTCTGGTCTTTCTTTGTTGTTTAGGCTGGCCTCAATCTTGCAATCCTCCTGCCTCAGCTCCTGAGTAGCTGGGGTTACAGGTGTGTAGGACCATCCCCAGCTCATTTAGATTTTGTAGAAGAAAATCAACTCACACAAGTCAGGAGAGTTTGGAAGTATTTTTAGGGATATTTTAAACTATTGTATCTTTTTTTAAATACACAATATCATTATTTATTTTTATGGGATGCTAAGGATCAAACCCAGTGCCCCACACATGTGAGGCGGATGCTTTACTACTGAACTACAGCCCTAGCCCTAAACTATTATATCTTTTAACATGAAGAAAAAACATTTCAATATAGATTGCTTCAGGCAAAGTCTTGTAGATGTATTATTGTTATTGAGTCTTTTTCTTTAGGGTTTCTGGAACAAAGTAAGTTGGGCAAAATAGTTTGTACATGCTATGAAGTATATCTAATCAATCATAACAGGAAATAAAACCAGAACAACTTGATGGAAGGAACTTGTAGTTGATATGTCTCTGTATTAGTGACTTGTCTGAATTCCGAGGAAGTTGATATTATTCCAGCCAATCATTTTACTTCAACTCTCTCTAACACCATCTACTGAAATATATTCATTCACTGACATTCCATAAATAATCTAACCAAAATAAAACAGACAATAGTTTGAAATATGTTTGATGATTTTGAAATATTTTTCCACATAAAAAGTGACTAAACTTACAGATATTTCTCTTCTGTGATAACAGTGCTGATTGTTTTATGCTCTGCATCATTAGATGTAATCATTACCAGTAGCACTGTAACCACTACCATCATCATCATAATCTAAAATTTCTTGATTATATTTAACTCTGTTCTAAGTACTTTAAGTGCTTAAAACACTTCTCACAAAAATCCTCATTTCTCCTCACAAAAATCCTATGAGGTAGTTGTTTTTTTATTTCCACTTTGTAGATAACAAAAAACTGTACAGTAAGTAATAAAATACTTGCTGAGCCATATTAAGCTTTTTCTCGTATCAAAACTATTTCATATTTCAACAATGGAGAAAGGATTTTATTGCTAAATCTGCAACATTGATGTCCCTAATTTTCCTGCACCCCAGATAGTGGCAATTGAAGACTCAGTTATTTCTAAATTATTCTCAAGAAGAGCTGTCTTAAGATTAATTAGTTGTCATTCTTAAAAGCATATGCACATACTTTGAGGATGCTATAGTAACTTTCCATCTCTGCATATTTGTATAATTTTAAAACCATGCGACTTCCCCATTATAAAACTCATGGAAAGGATTTTGTTTAATTGTGTTTATACCTACAGGAAGCAGTAAAAGAAAACAATAAGAGAAGAGAATTGGAAGAGAAGACTAGGAGGGCAAAGCTTGCAAAAGAGAAAGCTGAACAAGAAAAAGTGGAACGCCAGAAGAAAAAGAAACAGCTCATCGATATAAACAAAGGTACAGAAGTATTTCTAATTATTTTTAAAAGATGACAAAAGTGCAAAATAATTTCACTAGTTGATTTTTCGACTATAAAGTAAATAATCATATTCATAGAAAATTTACAGTATTATTAATTACTTGTGTCAAATTTCTCTAATGATACTATCTATCACTTCTCATGCTACACTGAGCATTCAGGATTTTGATAATCAGTGCAAGGTGTTATGTTGTTGAGATAATCTTTTTCTCATTGATTTTATTATAATGATCTGAATGAGGCAGTGAATGGTAAAGGAAGAAGGGAGTGAGATGAAAAGTGAAAAACACAACGTGGAGAGATGTGGCCTAGACCTTAGTTTCACTTTGGTGGTACTTATCGGTTGGAAGTGCAGTTACAACAGTCTTCCTTGAGGGCTTAAACACTTCAAGTCATAATAGATATTGACAGCACTATTACAAGTTGAAAAAATAGCAGAGCATCTTATTCAGCTCTGAGCCTAAGTAAAAGTTGCTGGCCCATCCACATTAGTGTAACGTAAGTTGTTTCCTTGCTTAGCAAGAATGATCATATATTATAGGTGGGTTCTTTGATTTGACTTAGTTTTTAAAGAGAGAGGAAAAAGAAGAAAGTAATTGGTAGCCAGGTGTTTGTACTCTGAAAATTTAAGAATAAAGAACATAGCCTTCACCACCAGAGGCTTAGAGAATTTCAAACAAAATAAAATCTGAACAAGATAATAGGTAGTATGACTAATATTGGACCATTTATCATTGAAGATAACAATAGTAAAACTTAGAAGCACTGTATAATATCAGCAACATGCCAAGCACTATTTCAAGATTTTTAGGTCAATTCTCACATAGGTATGAGGAAGATGCTATGATTATCTTATTTTACAGACAAGAAATTGAGGCTCATATAAATTAAGGAACTTTTCCAAATTTGCACAAATAGAAAATATTAGCTTTGAAATAGAATCCAAGGAGTCTGGCTATATTATCTGTGCACTTATCCTTACCACTGTCAAAATAGCAACTGTCATATAGCATGTACCAAGAACTATCTTATCTGTTTTACATTTTTAAACCTACTTAATCCTCATAAAACCCTATGAAGAAAATTCTGTTACCTCATTATAACATGAGGAAGCCAGATGTGGTGATGCACATCTGTAATCCCAGTGGCTCAGGAGGCTGAGGCAGGAGAACTGCAGGTTCAGCTACTGAAGCCAGCCTCAGCAACTTAGGTAATAAGCAACCTAGTGAGATCATTTCTCTAAATAAATAAATAAATAAATAAATAAATAAATAGATAGATAGATAGATAGATAGATAGATAGATAGATAAATAAATAAATAAATAAATAAATAAATAAATAAATAAATAAATAAATAAATAAGGCTGGGGATATGGTAAAGCACCCTTAGGTCCAATCCATGTGCCAAAAATAAATAAATAAATGTTAAACTAAGCGAAATTGCCCAAGATCACAAAGGTAGTAAGAGGTAGAACCTAGATTTGAACCCAAGCAGTTTGTGACCAGAGTTTAATTATTAACTGTTATTATGTGTTTAAAGTGATTAATCATTATCAAGTATTCTGCTGTAATAATTTTATCAAATAATATCTATGCCATTGATTTTATTCTTCATACTTTTGAAATACATACAATTTTTCAGAAATTGACTATAGTTTATTTCTTCTGTCCAAGAAACACATTAACATAATTTCAAGAGAATAAAAGTTTTTATATAAACACCTGAATTTTAAAAAGAGATTAGTATCTCCACATAATTTAGCAAACAAATTTATAATTAGGATCAAGAGAAGTAGTGTCTTGACTGAAGGTTACTCAGTTAGGAAGTAATAGCCCAGCATTTCAATGTATATTTGCAGGAACTTATCACTTAAAAGGTAATAAAATTAATAGAAGAGTGCTAAAAGTTAGTTCCCTTTTGTGCATGGAGAAGTAGTGAGGGAAGAGGCTCACTCGAAGTGGTAGTAGTGGGTAAATTATGAGCTTTCTTTTGTGGTGTGCTAAGGGTCTTATCCTGAAAAATATTGGAAGCCTATGAATGTTTATAAATTGGAAAATGATGAACTTAGGTTTCTTAGACCATTTGGGCAAAAACAGAAAGAATGCATTCAGACAGGAAAGGTTTGAGACAGCAGAGATTTTGAGGATACTGTCATGGTGCAAACAAGAGCTGATAGTGGCCTGAACTATGCAGCAACAAGAAGGTTAAAAAAAAAAAAAAAGATCAGTAAGAGGTGTATAAAAGTTCTCTGTAGAGAGAGTGGAGAGAGGGACTTCTTTTAAGGAATTGGTTCCTGTGATATGGAGGCTGACAAGTTCAATATCAACAGAGTAAGACAGCAGGCTGGAGACTCAGGGAAGAGCCAATGTTGCAGTTCAAATCTGAAGATTATCTGCTGCAGAACTCCCACTTGTTCAGAGAAAATTAGTCTTTGCGCTTTATTCAGGTTTTAACTGATTGAATGAGGTCCATCTACATAATGGAGGGCAATCTGCTTGACTCAAAGTCCACCAGTTTGAAAGTTAATTTCATCTAAAACATCCTCACAGAAACATCCAGAATAACATTTGACCAAATATCTAGGCCACATGAACCAGCCAAGTTGACAAATAAAATTTTATCTGAAAGGGATGTTGAAAGATTGAACTACCAGTCTCTGATGATTGGTAAGATGTGGGAATAAAGGTAGGAAGGCATTTGAGAAGGTGACATTCTTCACAGAGAAATAAAATTCAGGAATAGAGCAGATTTGGTCGGGGGTGGGAGTTACAATGATTATTATCATTTTGATAATGTTTAGTTTCTAGATGCCTTATAGAGTAGGAAAATTTCTGATAAGTCATTGTTTATGTGAATATGAAACTCAGGAAAGAGGTCTGAGCTAGACTTAGGAATCATTGTTTTTGTTGAAGATTCAAATTATGATATGCTAGTTTGCTAGGTTTCCATAACAAAATGCCCAAAACTGGAGGGCTTACAAAAATCGATATATACTATCTCATACTTACAGAGGCTAGAAATTCAAAATTAAGATATCATTAGGGCTATGTTACTTACAAACACACAAGAGCAGGATCTGTTCCACGCCTTTCCCCTAGCTTCTGGTAGTTTATTGACTTGTGGCACCATGACATTAGTTTTCATATGGCATTCTCCCTGTGTGCATTTCTGTCTTTCCACATGGTGTTCTTATAACAAAGACACAAGTCATGTTAGAGCAGGCACACCCTACTCCATTATGAACTCTACTAATAATGCAATTCAGCCTATAATATATGGGATTCAATGAGATCACCAAGGTGAAATAAAAACTATTTGGTCTCTGAAGCCATTTATACTAAAGAATTATTAAGGACCCCCAATACATTTTATTTTTATAGATTATTTATATTGTCACTTATCATATTAGAATTAAAACCTAGACAACTTTTAAATTATTTGTTTATTCATTCAATTAAAATAACAATAGTAAACCTATTATATATTGAAAATAAATAACACTCTTTATGAAATGTAACTATATTTTAAAAAATATTAGCAAGAGAAAAAAATAGAGTTATAAATCTCTTCAAAGTCTAGCTAAATTAAAAAAAAAAACAGCTTCATTCTCATTCCTGCTTCTGTATTTAATCTAATGTGATGTCATTCATCATGTAGCTTCTGGAAAACTCTTATAAGAATGAAAGAAAAAAAGGCAAAAGAGTTTATAAAAATAGTTTTTCTTATTGGCTCTTTTTATTTATATATGATAATAGAATTAATTTTGATATAATTATAAAAGAATGGAATAAAATTTCATCTAATTAAGTTCTCAATACTTCTCTTCCCCTCCCTTCCTCCCACCGTTTTCTTCCCTCGGTTCTACTGATTGTTCTATTATGTACTTATAGTTTTTTTCTTTTTAAATTAGTGTCAGACCCCCTAAAATGATTTTGTGGACCCCTAGGCCTCAAAGCCCAAACTTTGAGCACCTCTGTTATAAACAAAGAAAAGTGTAAGCACTTAGAATTTGAGTGTACTTGTTTTGTATCAATAAGATAACCTTTCATACTACACCAATTCTCATCTACACCCAAGTATTTACCAACCATTTTCCCCTAAAAATAAGCCTGTATTAAGAAAAAAAAGGAAAGGTCCTGTTTTAATTATATCCATAGTCTATACTTTGGTTCGTTATTTGCCCAGAATTTAATTACCTCTTCCAGTGCCATTGAAGGCACAGGATGGATATTCAAATAAGTTTCTCTGAATATGCTCAGCTGAGTGATTTTAACATGAAAGATACATTTTCAAATAGGGTTTATCATTTATCTTTTATGTGTCATTGCCTAGCACTATTTACAGATCAATAAAATAGTGAACTGAAATGTTAGCTTCTTGATTTGTGGCCCATGTGTTGCAAATATAATATTATTTTTATTTATTATAATATAATGTTACATTTGGAATATATGAGTGTGAGTATTTACAAATATGTTTCCAAAATGCATCCTTCTCAGAGTAGAAGTGTGTAGTTTAAATTGGGAAGATGAATATTGCAAAAAAGAATAAGAATAGAGTTGGATATCAAGATGATGCTCAGTGTTAGAGAGTTCCCCTTAGTGTGTTAGGAAAGATGCTGTTTTGACTAAGTGAAAGTCAATTGCAGGCATTTTAAGAGCTGCAAGGAGGCCATGAAGTGTGAATCCATGAGGTGTGAAAGTCTATGGAAGATATGAATGAGGTATAGTCAGAAAATGATTTTCAGAACTTTGAACGTGTCTAGTTTGAATGCTGTAATCTTCCTCTCTGCTGAAAGAGAGATGTTGTAGAATATTTGATTGCCCTTGTAAGATATGTCTTCTATAGAGTATAAAGGTATTTCATGCCCATGAGACTATAGTAATACCTACCAATGGAAACAAAGGACGTTACCTTATAAGAAAAGTATTGCTGGGTGCAATGGCATTCAAATTAGGGAGACCCTGTCTCTAATT